AGCTAGTATTTAAGTTAAACCATTTAGAGATGAATTTATTCTTAATAATAAAGTACATATCTTAGTAAGATGAAATTATCCTAGGTGTCACTAACAATAGTTTCAAAAATCTACAACCCAAAACTTATAAAATTACAATTAGAAATAATAGATTTATGACACAGTGGGAGACCAGTGAATGAATCAGAAGAGTAATAAAGACAGATAAGATCAGGAAGGTTTATTACTAACTGTGATCTCAGGGATAAATTCTGCATCTAGCAATGGAAGGATATCTGCCACTTGCTTTTATGTTCCGAGACGTTTTTGGTTTTCTTCACGAAAAGCCTTCCCGTCCAAGTGTCTGTCATTCCTTCTGGGAAGAGCAGTTTATCTCCACTCCCTGGACACCGCGCGGGGAGAGGGGTGCTAAGCTGTGGGTGAGGCGGCGAGAGTCCCAGGGCCCCACCTTGCTGGGCCTGGCTCTGTGACTTCAGGCAAACCCCTGGGCTCCTGAGCCTCGATTTCCGCATCTGTGCCATGGATCTAACAGGAGCCCCTGCCTCCCAGGGCTCCGGTGAGAACCAGGGAAGGAGCTGTGCTCAGCGCCATCTGTCTGTCTCACACAAGTGTGCAGCACAGCAGCTACTTCTGTGCTCATCGAGAGCGTGCCTTTACCCCTCCTTCCTTGCCCACGCCAGTCTGGACTCGGAGCCCTTGTCTTTTACAGTGTCTTCTCCACATGTTTTAGGGCAAGCCTGGGGTCCTGTCATTTACCTGTGAGAAACAAGGATACTTCAAGATCGATCTGCTATAGCTAGATGCCCTCTCAGTGAGACAGAAAAAAAATAATTCTTCAAGCATCATAATAAGAGCCTGGCATGGTGGTGCATGATGCCTGCAATCCCAGCACTCGAGAGGCTGAGGCAGGATGAGCACAAGTTTGAGTCTTGTCTGTGTAACAACAAGATCCTGTCTCAAAATAAAAAATAAGAAAGATTGAGGATGTGGCTCAGTGTGAAGGCCTCGAGTTCAATGCCCAGTAACCCCCCCCCGCCCCCCATACACAGATGCACACATAGGCACACAGACACACACAATAAGGATACCATCCATCATGGAGCGGGTATTAAAGTCTACAGGGACAAATCACAACCACAAGGTATTTTTAATCCTGATGCATAGAGCAGCTTGGTTTGGGGAGCCCCAGTCTTACCCACAGTGTCACAGACACAACAGAATGGTACCACTAGAACTGAGCGAGGAAGGTCTTTAAAAATCTCTGTGTGTGTGTGTGTGTGTGTGTGTGTGTGTGCGTGTGTTTGTACTGGGGATTGAACTCGGGACCCTGAGCTTGTGAGGCAGGTGGCATTCTCTCTGTGCGTTGACCCCAAACCCTCCAGTAAACCCCAGAACCTCCCTCCTGGTGGTGTAGACTCAGATGTGAGCCGCGGGGATTCTTCCTAAACACACGCAGCCCTCTGTGTGTGGCATGCTCCACACCTGCGGATTCAACCTGCCAGGGCCAGAGGGGCTTGGAGCACTTGCATCTGTACTGAGGGTGCAGGCTCCTCCCCTGGTCACTGATCCCTGGACTGCACAGGGTGACAGCTGCGCCCCTAGCCTTGCCATGTAGGAGGTGCCTAAGTTACCTGGAGATGGTATAAGGTGCAATGGGAAAGCAAGCAGAGGGCCTCGCAGCGGTCCTGAGCCTGTCCTCTACGAGAGGCAGGTACTGCTGCTTTGCTTCAGAGGCTGCTGTGGCCCTGGATGACCTGTCAGTGCACTGGTCACAGTGTACGGCAGGGGCCAGGGGCTCCCCAGCGCTCCAATTGCACCAAGAGGAAGCACGGGGCTCCTGCAGGACCTGGGGACCGAGTGGGCTCAAGGCCTATGGTGCCCTTGGAGAGCAGGCCAGCCCCTTCCATGTAAGCAAGGATTCCTTGGGGAAGTCCTGTGCCTGGGTAGTGAGAGCAGGGTGGGGACCCTGGGACCCTGAGCTGCACCCCAGAGGGACAGAGAGGGGCAGAGGTGGGAGGCTGTGCTGTGCTCCTGGTGAGCGCCAGGTGGTGGCTTGTGCACGATCCAGGGCAGGATGTCCTACAGTATCAGGTGCACATAGTGGCTTCCAGGTGTGGGGTCATGGACAGGTGTCACCCAGTGGGTGGCTATGACACTTGGCATTTCCAGGCCAGCCTGAGCACAGGTGATACGGGGCAGGGGTTAAGTGGAGGGACAAGGGCCACTGTGTCTTCTGCCTGTCAAACTCAGGTTGGTGATAACATGGTTACATGCATGTGCTCAAGGTACCCTGCAGGGTCACGCTGTGCCCTTTTGCAGTGCAGTCCTGGAGTCTACTGTGGGATCCGGTGATCTCCAAAGTGGGTGTGAGCCTGGGGGCTCAGGGAGCCCACCCTTTGCATTGCCCTCACGTGCAGTCACATCAGGCTGTGTGTATCTGTGGCTGCCCAGGGTGCCCGCCTGGAACCCTCCAGAGAGGGGTGTCATGTACTCTAGGAGGGGCCCAGCATGGGTGGGGTCTGGCTGCTTCTCCCCTTCTTTTTGTTTTTAAATTTAATTTCATTGATACATTTTAGGTATAAAATATAATGACATTCATCATTGGAAATTTGCACCTTTACGTACTCTCTTGGTTCTTATTTTTT